CATCTTTCAACTCTCTGCTTCTGTGAGTTAAACTATTGTAGATTCCACTATGTATGTGAGATGCAGTATTTGTCTTTCTGTGCTTGGCTTAATCCACTTAGCATAATGTCCTCCAGGTTCCTCCACATTGTCTTGAGTGACAGGATTTTCTTCTTTTCCTAATGTGAAGTAGTATTTCATTGTGTGTATGTATATCACATCTGAAAAATCTTTTTAACACCTGCCCTCTTAAGTGATGCTCTATAACTAACAAGATAATTTTCTTTGTAAATATATATACGCATATTACTAAGTGCATTAATACATTGATTTGAGAACAAAGGAATTAATGATCATTATATGAAGGACATAAATATAAGAAGAAGAATATTGGGCTAGTAATAATAGTTAAATTGGGCTGAATACATACTGTGTATCAGTTACTACTTTGTTTTTTTATTTATTAATTTTTTTTATTTATTAATATTATTTTTTTACGTTCTAGGATGTGTAAAGAAGATCCTCATAGAGATTGCACTCAATACAATATTTGTTCTTAGACAAAAAGAAAAATTTAAGAGGAAGAGATAGTTCACATTTTGAACATTTGAATACATTTCATATGGCAGCAGAAAGTCATCACATGTTGCTCCAGACCAAGCAGCAAATTTCATCTTAAAATAAAGAAGGATATTCTAGTAATTAAAACTCTCCAGCAGTGAAACAGGCTTCCTTCAGCAGTAATGAGCATCCAGACATGGAGATATTTAAGCATAGACTGGATAACCAGGTCAGTGATGTTATAAAGGACATGGCAGCATTGAGTGTTGTGCTGGGTTGGAGAACTACTCTAAGATTATATGGTAATAAGAAATTTTTCTTACAAACTCCATTTATAATGAAAAGAGCTGAAAACTACAGTTTTCTTACAGGTCAAAGCCAGCTGGAAATGATGCACTATAATAGAAATCTCCTGGATTCCCTACAGGCATCTTCAGCCTCTTTCATCCACAAGGTTAGCTCTGCAAGGAAATTACACATTTCAGTTTCCTCCACTTTGAAATCAGCTACTTACACTGTGTATGGGACTCTAGCAAATAATAGGAAAGGAGTTGTC